ATTCCCAAGACTCCCCGCACTGGTCACCTCAATTTGTTAGGTGATCTATCCTGCAATTACCCTGTAGAGCTGACTTCTGACTCCAGGGGCTAAGTCTGTCACTTCTGCTGGGCATTTAAGCCCAGTTAGTGGATGGAGCTTCAAGAAGTCTGTTGTGTGTGTGCAGCAGCCTCAGACTGCTTTAAACAACTGCTCCTGTATTACCCTTGCCAACCCCACAATGATCAAGGAGGCCACTTAGTGACAAAGGGATGCAATTAGGCAGTTTCTAGAAAGAGATGGAGAGGTGGCCCACTGACTCTTCCAAATAAACTTTCCCGGTATCTTTTCCTGCTGGTCAATTGCAGAATCAGGCTTGAACTTGAATTTGCAAATATAACCATGTGTGGTATGTACCTGGGGTCACTGGGGTTTTACACTAGTCATTTAAAGATAAAGATTATTGAAGTCAGAATTCACACTCTCGTGTGCATTCCTGAAGAACCACGGAGCATCCAGAACACCACTGTTGTTTTCTGCTTATCAAAGATCGTTGAGAGCCACATCAAAGACAAAGATGCTTTTCCTTCCACCTGAGAAATGGCTCAGCAAGAGAAGCTATTTGTTACCAAAGCCTGACCGACATGGTGGAGGTAAAGATGCCAGTGTCTTCCTCGATCATTCTCCACCATATTTTTATTTTGAGTCAGCCTCTCACTGAACCTTGAGCTTACGAGTTCAGCTAGAAGAGCTGGGCCAGCAATGAGAAATGGAGGATCTATCCTCCATTTCTCCAGGGCTGTGCCTGGCTCTTTCTGTGGCTCTGGAGATCAGTACTCGGGTCCTCATGCTCTCGTTGCAAACACTTTGCTGGAGAGATGGCTCAGAGGTTAAGAGCACCGACTTGCTCTTCCCAGAGGTCCTGTGTTCAATTCCCAGCAACCACATGGTGGCTGACAACTATCCATTATGAGATCTGGTGCCCTCTTCTGGTGTGCAGATACACATGGAAGCAAAATGTTGTATACATTAAAACAAAACAAAATAAAACAAAAAAAAAACCACTTTGCTGACTGAGCCATCTTCCCGTCCCACCATGTGCAATTTTAAAGTGGGCTTTGGGTTTGTTGCCATTGTTTTGGCTTTAAAAAAAAGTTTTACTTTTGTTTTTATTTGTATCTATTCGTGTGTCGCTGCCGGGTGTGTGGGCATGTGAGTGCAGCTGTCTGAGCTGTTTGTGCAGTTGTGAGCCACTGTTTGTGGGTTCAGGAGCTGAACTCTAGTCTTTAAGAGTAGGTAGTACAAGCTCTTAACACTGAACCACCCCTGCAGCCTATTTGGCTTGTTGAGCCAGGGTTTCAGTCTGGCCTTGGATTTGTTATCCTCTGGCCTCTTGTATGCTCCAATTGCAGGTGTGAGCCCCAATCTGGCTGTGTTTTTATTTATCAGTTAAGCATAATTTAAAAATCTAAAACAGTCAAATCTACAATTGTATCTTCTTCTTCCTTCTTTCTTCTTCTTCCTTCTTCCTTCCTTCCTTTCCTCCTCCTCCTCCTCCTCCTCCTCCTCCTCCTTTTGGCTTTAGATTAAGATGTATTTTAAACTGGGCAGTGGTGATGCTCACCTTTAATCCCAGAACTCAGGAGACAGAGGCAGGTGGATCTGTGAGTTCAAGGACAGCCTGGTCTATCGAGTGAGTTCCAGGACAGCCAGGGCTATGCAGAAAAATCTTGTCTCAAAAAAACCAAACATACAACAATAACAAAAGGAGGTATTTTGGTGTTTTGTGAAAGCAGGATCTTAGCTGAATTTTCCAAGTGATATGCTTGGAATCATTGATTGGACAATTCTTCCCTCTTCAGGGCTGAACTCTGTGGCCATCAGACACTTTGAGATAACTGGGAACTTGATGGAGACATTGTAAGCAGATTCAAGTTGGATTAGTGTTCAGTCTCTTCCAAGCCTGAGGCATGCTTCTGTGGTGGATGGAGGCTTCCCGACAGACTCCAGTAAGGGGCTAATCATGCCATAGTAGTGACACGGTGGGCTAGGAAGGTTAGCAGGCAGCACCCAAGGCCAGTGCTTCTCCAGAAGAGCCTGGCAGCCCTAGGAAAATGTCCATTACTCTCTGCAGGGGTGAGGTCACAGTATGGGAGGTAAATTTCTCTGGATGAGATTCAGATGATAGTCTTGATCAAGCTGCCTCCTAAGCCCTGCTGTCTGCCAGTGCCTTGTGGTTTCAAAATCCTTCTGTCTGTGACCCATGACTGGTGCCTTGTGGTTCAGGAGGCAAAGAAACCTGGACAGATGCTAGTGACGGTGACCCAAAAAGCCTGGGCCCTCAGACACCTGCAGCTCCCTGTCTCCCGCCCTGCAGCTGTTAGCTAGACCACTTTCCGGAGTGTTCTTCCAGAGAAGCCGGCCATGCAGATTACAGTTTTCTCAGGGTTTTACTCATTCAGCAGCCTTCCAACAGAGGCATTTGGCATCGTGATGTGCCGGTAGGGATGCCAGGAAAGCCACACCTGTGGAGGTTCAGGCAGGTAGCTCGAGGACAATTGTGGCAGATTTGTGGAGATCCTGCCTGGTGTTGATATGGGGGTTCCCCTTTCCCAACTGTTCTGCAGTTCCATCAGGATACAAAACAACTGGGCTGTGGTTTCTTTCAGTCAAGACATCCTTTAGGAGGGGTGGTGGCCAGAATGTGAATTGCCCCCACCCCACAGTCTCATGTATGTGTATATTTGGTCCCCATCTGGTGGCGCTGTTTTGGAATGTAAGGCCTGGCTGTCAGATATGGGTCGCTAAGGGTTAGACCCCTTTCCAGCCCACTGCTCTGCTTCCTCATCTGCTGAAATGAGAAGCCAACCACATGTTCATCCAGCTGGATGGATCGAAACTGAGGCAAACATTTCCCCTCTTGTTTCTGTTGGGGGATTTTGTCATACTGTTGAGAAAGGCAACCAGTACAGAGGGTCAACAGGACAGGGACGGTCCCTCACATGGACTTGCCTTGGGCTGGTAGTGAATAAACCACTAGAGGCACCCAAAGACCTTGGGGAAGGCCTGGAGCGAAGCCTCATTTTTGTGATGGGGAAGCAGATGCCTACAAGTAGATAGCAAAGGTCATGCCAGCTGCCTAGTGAGCCTTCAAACACCTTCTGACAAGAGTCCCTTCCCTAAGGAGTAAGCACTCTATGGGCCTGAGACAGGGCACATCTACACCTAGGTGTCCAATAGGACAAGAGCATTCGCAAAGAAGCCTTCCCTGGAAGGTGTCCCTACAACCTGCCAACACCACATGACACGCACACGCATGGTCACGCATGGTCTTCTGGCGGGGCTTGGAGAAGCTTGCTGAGTTTGCCTCCTTTTGAAACTTGTTATCACTAGATCCTGCCCCCACCTCAGTCTGTAACATCAAGGACCACATCTGTCCTCTTTTGTGCCCTGATTCTAACCTAACCCAGCACAGGAAATCCTGACATAAAGATACTATTAATATAGGATTTTTGTCTTTTGTTTTATAGCAACAATTTTTCTTTGTTAGACTGGGTATGTGCTTTCTCTTCTGATTGTACATTTTCATATTTTTATTTACTTTTTATGTGTGTTGGTATTTGGCCTGCATGTATATCTGTGTGAGGGGGTCCGATCTGCTGGAACTGGAGCTACAGTCAGTTGGGAGCTGCTCTGGGGGTGCTGGGAATTGAACCTGGGTTCTTTGGAAGAGCAGCCAATGATTTAACCCACTGAGTCATCTCTCCAGCCCCACATTTTCATATTTTCTTTGCTGGCACTTCATCCTTCAAAGCCCAGCTTGGCTGTCACTTTAAGGAAACCCTCAACTCCTAAAACATGACATCCCAGACAGGTGGGTTTCTCTGTCCCATCCAGCAGCCGCAGTTTTTGCTTTGCAGGTCTTCCGGAAGAAGCCTTTCTTCCAGAGAGCATCCCAGACAAATAGCGTAGAAAGACCCAAGATACAGAAAAAGCCCCAGGCCCAGGATGGCTGCATGAGCAGGGCAGGGGACCAGCTGGTGGGCAAGCTGGCTTATCCAAGCCATGGACATGAGCCCTGGGGAAATTAAGGTAAAAGGCAGTGGGACCGGAAGGCCACCCTCCCTATCAATCAGAAGGCCCAGCATGGGGCCCGCCTCTGCTCTCAGTCCTGTCGCAGAGGGGCCCGCAACAGCATTTCCAGCAGGGCCCCAATCCTAGACACCCAGGTTTGATTTGGGGAAGTATGGTTACTGGAGGCATAGGATTTGCTGACAGCAATCTTGACATTTTGTGAGCAGCCAGGTGCTAGGGCTCATTTGGTAGGGATGGCCTGTGGCTCAAACACTGCATCACGTGCTCGCTCTTGGGCAGACTCTTGGGCAGTATCCAGCAGGGAAGGCCAAGGAGGCTGTGGGGTGTGGCTCAGACACTGAGAGGGAGAGGGAAGCCACCCTCAGAGTCAGGCTGCTAAAGAGGTCAAACACCCTGCCAGGCACCTCCCCCACCCCAGCTGCCCCAGCTGCCCAGCACAGGAGGGTGTCCTTGGCATCCCACCTGCTGCACCCAATGCTGAGGCCATCTGAGCTGAGCGAAGATGTCAGAGAAAACCCCAAATCGGATTGAGGCTTCTGCTCCCCCTTAATGAGGTTCATTATCAGCTGCTCTGATCCCCGCAAAACCCAGCAGGCTGGATTAGGGGCAAAGTCTAATCCAGGCTGACTCCTCTGGGCTGAGCAGCCAACCCGGGCTGGCTGGACAAACCAACCTGTCAGTCCTGGAGGAAGTGCTGAAGGTGGCAGCTGCAGACAGGCTCCTCTGATACCCAGGCAGGTCTCAGGGAAGACAGACAGCAAAAGGCGACAGAGCCATCACCAAGGCCTGGGGTACTCTGTGGGGAGTGAGGTGAGAGCCTGCTCCTGTACCCAGGAGCTTTGCTGCTGGATCTCAGGTGAGGCCAGACGCTGTGCAGTTGCTATAGACCTGAACATAGGTCTCCAAGGATCAAGTCAAACACACTATTCGTGACTTAACAAAATAATTTTATTCCACACGGGACGAGAGTGGGATGAAGCATGTGTATCAGTCTCTTCCTGCCTCTACCTTCCTGCAGTGGAGCCCTTCCCTCGCTGCTCTTAAGCCAACAGTTAGCACTGATTTTAGAGGACAAAATAAAAGACAAGAGCCCCAGCCCAGAGAGAAGTCTGCCTTCTTGCAGTTAGCACAGGACTATCTGGACCCCAGCGTCACCCACCCCGTTGCCCCCACCACCAAGCAAGGCACCCCACAGCCCAGCCACTTTCATCCACCCCCCCTGCCACCCCACCAACCTCAAACTACAACCTTGCAGCAGAAACCCTAGTTTTAATCTGGGAGACCAGAGTCACTTTCTGAAGTTTCCAGACCATTTTCTTGTAGCCAAACCCCACCCAGGTCTGGGGTGCTAGAGCTGGGCAGGCTGGAAGTGATGCTGCATTTTCTTCATGTTGAGAGGGAGGGAAGGAGGAAGCCTCAGAATGCAGTGAGGAGGTCCACTCCAGCCCACCCAGCCCAGGATCCTCTCTTCTGGATGGAAACTCTGGACTTGTCTACCTCAATTTAAGGCCAAGGCCAAGCAGGAAACATTGAGACTTCAGCGGAAATGGGGCAGGACTTCACATATGCTGCAAAACAGGAATGTAGTGCTGAAGCCAGGGTCTGAGCCTCCCAGAACCCCCCAACCCCTGCTTTAGGCTGCCCCTGCCCCCTGCTGGTTAGATGGCACTGGGAGCCTGTTTCTGTCTTGTCTAGGGAACCTTTCACAGCAGACTCAATGGGTTCACTGCAACAACTGGCTTTCTTGGACTTGCTACTCTCCTAAGCTAGGAAATGGGACAGGGAGTCTAGAGGGAAGCAAGGATGCCTGGGTGTCTGGATGGCAGTTCCATTTCCTGTCCTCTTCCTGGGCTCTTCAGGCTATTGGGTGACTAGATGACCCTTCGGGGTCCTCAGCCTGGCCCGAAAGTAGGTGTACATGGCTAGTAAGCACACGAAGGATACAGAGTAGAGCCCCACACAGAGGCTAATGTCCAGGTGGGAAAACCCCCTGCCCAGAACCTGTAACCATGGGCCTTGACCCCGTATAGCTGGGGCCTCCGGCTCCCCTTCAGGTATGTTGACTAGCTGCTTGGGACTTCGGCCCCCTCGCCTTAGCTCTAAAGGGCCTTGGAGGTGGTTCACCTCAGGCAGCGTTAAGACCTCAGTGTCTCTCTTGCTCAAGTGTTGCTGCCCCTGAGTATGCCCCTGTGTAACCCTCTGCGGCTCTTCCATATGCTCAGGAGGGCCCTGCCCTGTGTACAGCGCCTGGGGGCCACTTGCTTCAGGTTTCCCAACTGGAACATTTAAGGCAGTAGCTCCAGGGGACTCTGTAGAAGCTGCCCGCTCATGGCCCAGCACTGAATTTCTGGTCTCCAGTTCTAATGCATCCATTACCGGCTCTGGGGTAGCTCCTAGAATCTGGGGATTCCTCTGGGTTGCTAGTCCAGCTACAGGAGTGTCTAGGATGATGTTTTCTGAGGAGAAGTGAGCCTTGAGAAACCTGTAGGTGGCTTCTAGGTCCCACACAGGCTCACGTCCATTGATTTCATTATGGCAATCGAAACACAGTTCACGGAGAGGCCACTGCACCTTGGGGAAGTAGGGGTCCTCACTAGGAGCACCTGGGGAGGGGAGCACATACAGTTGGGTTGTAACATCTGGGCTGCCCAGGAGCTCAGGTTTCTTGTGTTCAGAACACCAGCCTTTTCATCTCCAAAAAGGCTCACCAAGCCTTTAAAAGGATGGAAGATAAAACACAGATACAAAACAAAAACAAGACTAGCATGTAGCTGGGCCTGGTGGTGCAGGTCTGTATTCCCTACCACTCAGGGGATGAGGTGGGATTACACGTTCAGGGCCAGTTCTGGGCCTCTGCCTCAAAAAAAGAAGGCCAGGGAGACGTTGGGGACGTAGTTCAGTGAGCCAGACCCTAGGTTCACTCTCCAGCGCTGCCCCAAGCTCAAACACCTCCTGGACCAATCTGCACAGTTCTGGCCCACAGTGGGACACAGCCACTACAGCATTTGGTGGCAGAGCTAAGGCAAGGGGAGGGGCAAGAGGCCAACTGGGAAAGGAAGACATGTCTGCTTTTTCAAAGGCACCAGGAGCCTCCTGGAGAGGGAACCAAATGCGGTCTGCAGCACCTCCTGCTCCATCCAGCTCCTGGCCGCGGAGGGCCGTCTGGGAAGTCCTTCCTGTTTTCCAGATGTGTAGAATCCGGGCTATAGAAGGCTTCCTCCAGGATGTGTGTAGGACCCACCATGCTCCCATGTGCAAGGGAAGCAAACAATGACCAGGAGGATAACCAGGATGACAAGCTCCCTGCCCCTCTCTCTCCAGCCCACTCTGATGACAATGGGAGACCCCTCCTCTCTCCTCCCTGTTACTGAGTAAGAGACTAATAGCCACAAAACAGAGCAGGGGAGGCAGGAGAGATTCTAACAAGCTAGTGAGAGCCCTGGTTCAGCAGGGGAAGAAGCACTGGCATTAAACACCAGAATCCTACAGTGTCCCAATCTGTTCCCTCTAGACATGGGACTGGTTAACAGGGCTGGGAGATATGTGGAAGAAGCATAGGCTGTCACTGAAGAGATGGTAAGAATGCCCCCCCCCCCCCCCAAAAA